TATGCCAATTGAGCTTGATGTTCCCTGAGACCATGGTCCCAAGCCCAAAAGGCCAACTACTTGGTCCCTCTGGGTAGCTGGCTGTGCCCAAGAAGTGACTACAACCTTGTCCCTTATCAGCTCTACTATATACCTGGGAATTCTTACAGAGCATACAAATACACTTGTAGAAACATTATCTGCCAGCCCTATACATGGTCATGCATGGACACACTCCCCTGTACATAGACATACCTAATTGTTGAGCCTGTCCTTCCATCTATCCACCTGTAGATCAATGTTTGCCATCACTGACTACTCAGTACTGTATGTGCAGAAGGGTTCATCTTTGTTGTCTGTACCTCCTACACACCTCTCTCTGTCTTCTTCCTTAATGCCATTGTGTTAATCACTCACATTTGGTACATTGCCCTTTCCTTCACCCAAATCAATATTTGTCTCTTTCTATCTAGCAATGTTCCTTCCCCTCCCCTCCCCTCCCACCCCTGGTAATCAACAAGGAAAATTTGCTTCCATATATAAACCTTTCCTTGACTTTTTACAATAATGAACTAATATAATATTTGTCCTGTGATTGACTTAACTTGATTCAGCATAATGTTCTCCAAGTTAATCCATGTTATGCAGTGTTTTGCAAATTCTACGCTATTCTTTAGGGTTGCATAGTATTCTGTTGTGTGTATGCACCATAATTTGGTTATCTATTCTTCTGTTGATGGGCACCTAGGTTGTTTCCATCTTTTAGCAATTGTAAATAGTGCTGTGATGAACATAGGTGTGCATGTATCTGCTGTTTTAATTAAATTTAATTTTTTAAATGTTATTTTGATTCAGGGTGTCGAGCCATTTTGAACCAGTTCAGTCATGGATGATGTGGCAAAATCAAAATACACCTGAATTTTTAAAATTTGTGTGAAACAGAATGGTAACTGGAATGGGAAAACTTAAAAGTTGAAGCTCTGGAATGGGAGACTTGGGAGAAGCATAGTGAGCCCTTTCAGGAGCCTGATGCCAGAGATTGGATTGTTACCAGTTCTGTTGAGAGCAACACAAAGTCAAAGCAGCGCAGTTGGCTGCCATCTTTGAGTTGTTTCTAATTCTACTAATTAAGAGATTTGGTCATTAAGCAGCTGCACACGCCATGCTTGTTTTCTAACAGGGAGATTAAGTTTCTAGCAGGGCATCAACTTGTAATTTTTCCCATTCCAGTTGTCATTCCAGTATACCCCCACTTTACAAATTCCGATCCATTGAGATTTTACTTAGTTGGCCATGACTGAACCAGAAAGAACTGGTTCAAAGCCTTGTTCTGATTTATTATTTATTTATTTCCTGTTCATTTATTTTGCCTTTTTTACTTGTTAACCTTTTCTCTTATTTATATAAATTCATTTCTTACAGAAATGTACTACGTTTAGTCCTATTTATTGAAAGTATTATTTTTCGAAGTTCATTTTTACTATTGAATTCAGTTATAGAATTGATGATATTTGAGAGTTTTAACTACATATTTCCACCTTTTGTGATTTATTCTGTTTTTTCCCCATAAATTAATAAACATGAAATGATTTTTAATACAGTATTTTATAGGTTTCATATTTATAATCCCTAAAAATATATAATATTTTAAAAATACATAAAAGTATAAAAAATAATGTAACACATACCTGTATACCCACCATCTATATTTAAAAATATGACCACTTTTAAAGGTATAGTATTTCAGGTACAGCCCCGCCCTAAACTTTCACCCTTTCTTTCTAAAAGTTGGCATGTATTTTTCTAATTTATGTTACTTTTACTAGTAACTATAAACAGTACAGTCTATTGTCATAAACCCAAAAGCAAACCTATTGCTGTCAATTCTGACTCATAGTAACCCTGTAGGACATAGTAGAATTGCCCCATAGGCTTTCTTTGATTGTAAATCTTGATAGAATTAGACTGCCACATCTTTGTCTAGCAGAGCAGCTGGTGAGTTCTAACTGCTGACCTTTTGGTTAGCAGCTGAGTGCTTTAACCACTATGCTGCTATGGCTCCTTCTGTTGTAATAGTGTGTTCTTTGGTAAGCAGTCAAGGTGCTTTGACGACTATGCCATCAGGGCTCCTTCTATTGTAATAGTATGATCTATGTATAACTTTTTCTTAACAAGTTTGGAAATCACATGTTTTATTATATTAATATTTTAATATTTATACTCTACACTTTGCAAAGCCCAAAGCTTCCTTCCAAATATTAAAAAATATTTTAGAGCACTTAGATTATGAATGTTCTCTCTCATATCTGTGTTTTTGTCTAGTATTTTGGTTCTATCTTTTTAAAATAATTGTCATTTTTATGATTATTTATGCTTATTAAAATTTGGCAGCATTAGTGCTAATTTATTTAATGCCTATTTCTTCTTGTACCCAACTCCTCCTTTCTGCACTCAATTTCTTTCTTCCTGAAGAACATCCTTTAGCAGCTTTTGCAATAACTGTGAATAGTAAACTCAGTCTTTTTATATCTAAAATAATCTTTATTTCACACTCACTCTTGAGTGATTCTATTTTCCCCATAGAATTTTAGTGATTCTTAACAGTCTTTTGGCTTCAACTGGTGTTTTTTAGATTTCTGATGTCAGTCAAATTGAGAGATTCCCAAAGTATGCATGTATGAAACTGTTAGAAATGAAAATTCTCAGGCCCTACCCACAACCTGTTGTTTTTTTTAGGTGCCATTGTATCAGTTCCAACACATAGCAGTCCTGTGTGCAACAGAACCAAACATAGTCCCGTGCCATCCTTATAGGCATTGCTGTGTTTGAGTCCATGGTTGTGGCACGGTGTCAA